TATTTGTTTCTAAAAGAAGATATTTATGATATTATCGGAAATAATTTATTTTCGGTAAAAGCGCCCTCTATATGCAAGAACTAACATTGCTTCCGACAGGCTTAGTCACTGCGACATACACGCTGCACTTCCATGTTCGGACCCAGATAAAACAAAACAGGAATTCAGATTTTACAAAACATTCTGAAATAAATGATTAACGCAGCACAGTCTTCCAAACTTCAATCGATTTTTAGACTAAACTTAGAAAATCTTATGAAATTTCATCGACTATTTTTTTCAAATTAACGAAAAGTGTTATATTTTGCTCCGTAAATAGGAATCTGAAAAATAATTATTCAAATTATTTGCATTCGGACGAATATTATTATCTTTGTTGTAACAGGCAGGCAAAATGAATTAGGACTTTTTATATTCAGACTATTGTCCTCATCTTTGCTGTTGTTATCATAACGTTTCAATCTTTGTATCCTTCGGCCTTCCTCAGAATTATATCGATTTAGGTAACCTACAGGGAATTCTGAAGTAAACTCTGTATTTAATCAGGTGGGGGAGTGCTAAACTCATCCCACTGCTCATGTTTAGGGGTATGGTCTAGTTCTAATTTTTGTTTATTTCTATTCAGTTATTGCTTGCCTGTTTTCCACTGACTGCAAGTACGAACTGTCCAAGCCCAGGATTGAACTCCCAACCACTATGTCACCAATTTCACAAAGCGACGCTTTAATGCACTGGGCTATAATTTATATCTAGAAAAGCAAAGAACTGATATAGAATTTTCTGTACGTGTAAAAGGAAAAATATTCGAAGGAAGCTAGTGGATGTTAATGGACATGCTGTTGTAAGCAGAGTAAGGGAGTTGGTCAGTAGAGATCTTGGTAGTCCTTGAAACTTAATGGCAGGTGGCAGGACTACCAAGGAACCGAATGAGGTATGTTGAATTCACATTGGAGTGTAAAAGAATCTACACTTGATACCAAATGGAAAGAAGAGTGCCTTTATGAATAAGAATATAATCATTGAAATAAAAAAAAGTAATGCTTTTCTCTCGTTTTCCTTTTCCGCTTATTAGATATTAACAGACTAAGACAGACAGACAGATAGATAGATAGATAGATGCGAACAGACTGACATATATAGATAGATATGAACAGACTGAGATAGATAAATCGCTAGATAGATGCGAACAGACTGAGATAGATAGGTAGATAGATAGATATGAACAGACTGCAATAGATAGATAGATACATGCGAATAGACGGAGATAGATAGAAACAGAGAGATATGAACATAATTAGATAGATATATAGATAGATAGATAGAGACAGACAGACAGACAGACAGTATTAGATAGATATGAACAGACAGACATAGATAGGTATGAAAAGTCTTTCCTGTTTATTGAGATAGATTTCCTGGTCAGAAAGGGCATATATAGATCCGTAGAAGTCCCAACGAGAGAAGTGCTTTAATTAAATAGCAATTCGGGCCTTGCTCTGCCTGGATGATCTCCGTGGCCAAACTGGTAATGACTCATTTCAAGTGAAAAAAAAAAAAGCCCTTTTCCTTATGGAAAAAGGGTTATCCGTTTGATTCCTAACATAGGTACAAATTTTCTTAAGTAAAACTTCCCAATCTAAGCTGGATGTTATATCAATTTCACTGTTTAAGAAAATATACAAACAGGAATAGCAAATTAATAACATGTACTCACTGGTTACAAGAACTAAATTTAATCCAATGCATGGCTCGAGAGCAACTCACGTTAAAGTGTTGCAGTTAGAATGGTAATGATGAATGAAGTATGTGAGATTAATGGAAAAGATGGTAGGAAGTGAAAATTATGAGTATAAGGAAGATAGATATTGATCGAAAATCTATGTTTCGTATGACTTCTCAATCTATGGCGGTTGATATTATTTTTACTGTTTAAGATGGAGTTTTGGGGCGTCAAACACGTCTGCCCATTAAAAATAACGTTTATATTAATGAGAAATATATATACACTGCAGTTTAAAAGTTTGAAGCGAACCCCAGAATTAGCATAGGATGAACTTGATAGAAGAGTAAAAAAAATGAAAAAGAGCTCTTTTGTGGTGCCATAATCAAAGCTAAAGGAAGATATTTTGACGGGAGTATAATTTATTCATAAAATGCTTTTTCCCTTCTTACCATTTCTAATTGTTTATTTAATTTGCATACGATACTATAGTCATGATACAATTTCTAATAAAAAATCATGCCACACTGTTTTTTAAACATATATAATAATTTTCTCTTATTTACAGAGCATTAATATTATAAATTAATTGATTTAAAATATGGTTCTTTTCGCTACACAATTCTAACCATGTTTCAAAAATGGAAGCTGAAAGCTTCAAATTTAATTTTGTAATTAAATTAAAGACATTGGTTCCATTTCATCCTCAAGAGAATTTTGGAGTAACTTTTAAAATTACTGGGTTTTAAAGACACAGCAAAAATCAACTAAATTTTGGGACAATTTAAAAAATTACCAGGGGTTACCTCAAATTTTTGAACTGTAGTGTACATACATATTTCGGTAGACGAAATAAATATTGTTTAAAATAAAACGGAGCGTCTACTCAAATACGGGTGTCCACTAAATATAATGTTTGAAGTATTAAAAATATATCGGCTTAAAAAAATAAAATAAAATCCATTCTTTAGAAATTGTTTTGTTTACGTTTCAGGTAGGAAACTGAGCAAGATATGATTTTCGAAAAGAATTGAATGATTTAGTAAGCATTGATGGCAGACAAGAAGCTCTTCGTAGATGAGCAATTGAACCTCGAGCATCAGATGTTGGTTTTTTTCCTGTGAAGGGGTGAGGCGCAGGTATATGTTTTCTCGGGTGTATGTTTTGTCCATGGAATAAATACGGTTTAAAATGAACCAGATATCTATTCGAATACGGGTATCCACTAACAATAACGTTTGGAGTAATATATATATATATATATATATATATATATATATATATATATATATATATATATATATATATATATATATGTATGTATGTATATATATATATTATAAATTAATTGATTTAAAATATTTTTTAAAATCAAGTATAAGTATGTATACATACTTATACTTGATGAAAATAATTCTACATACGGTAAGGGATTCTAATACATTTAAGTGTTCTTAAAAGAAATATAGTATATTAAAAATTAAAAGTGAAAATATTTTTCAAATCGTAGTTAAATAAAACGTATTCTAACCTAAACACCCCCCCCACAAGATCTTTAAATATACAAATAGAAAAAATGCCGTAAGAATTTTTGCATTTAACAATAAAAATTTTTAAAATCCAAACGACATGCATTTAACGGATGTCAGAATTCATTGAAGAATACATCCCTACCCCTACTAAAACGTAACTAATAACTGATACATCAAAATACAGCGATAATGAAGACGCAGACACCCCTCGTCTGTTTGAATTGGATTTCTCTGTATCCTTGGAAACGTGAATTATGATATTTGCTGTGGCTTTAAAACCCAGTAATTTTAAAAGTTACTCCAAAATTCGGTTGAGGATGAAATGGAACTAATGTCTTTAATTTAATTACAAAATTAAATTTGAAGCTTTCAGCTTCCATTTTTGAAACATGGTTAGAATTGTGTAGCGAAAAGAACCATATTTTAAATCAATTAATTTATAATATTAATGCTCTGAAAATTTACATTGAGCACTATTTTGTAAAAATCTATAAGAACACCGGATTATATATCTTACTGTTCTTTTATTATATATATATATATATATATATATATATATATATATAATGGAATTTTTTAGTATTGTTGAAGTTATCATTAACTTTATTGCCGAGATTTACAAACACTACGTTTCGTTTAATTCTGCAAACCAATTGATGAAATATAAAGACTTAAAGAAAAGTTATGCAAAAAACAATACTGCATTTTTATTAAATACGTATTTGTCATTTTAATCATTAAATTGTTTTGAAAATAGTGCGAGTAATTTGTATGCTAAATAATAAAACTTTTAATTCATCCCACCCCTCAAAAATGAAAATTTCTTGTACTCTGCTACGCACTTGTGTAAAACCAATTGTACTTTGTACTCCCTTATTGTTTGCACTTCACCCCAGAATTTGGTTTCGATGGGTCAATGTGTGATTATTTTAGAGGGTGTGATAAACGGACGGGCTAATGGAAGTCACAGATTTTTATATCGTAGACATTTTCTGCAACACGTTGATATGTGTTAAAATCCTCACAATATTTAGTATTGTTGAAGTCATCGCTAACATTTTTTATCGAGATTTCGAAATCCAATCGATGAAATTTGAATAAGCTGATTTGTTTGGAAAAATATTTTAACGAAAACCCTACTTCGCGGTATAATAATTTCTTTAATGTGATTTAATTTTACAGGACTTTTTAAGAAAATTTTTTTTTTCCTTTTTAACAGCGAAGAATACATTCTTAGGATTTCTTACTCTTAAGCGTGCAACATACAACTGGTTCGCGTAAATATTTCTTTCTGGAGCAAAATTCTAACTTTCTGAAGCGTTTTGGCTTTGTGATTTGCTTATAGTTCTGGCAAACGCAGAGTGAACTGGAAACTGGATTCTTGTAAATAAAATCTTAAAGAAACGTTATGCAAAAAACAATATTGCATTTTTAATAAATAAGTATTTGTTATTTTAATCATTAACTTGTTTTTAACATAGTGGGAGTATTTTGTATGTTAAATGATTAAACTTTTAATTTTTTAAAAACGAAAAAATAATGAAAATTCATTATACTAAGCTACGCACCCTGATAAAAGCAACTGCACTTTGTACCACTTAACCTGTTTGCAATCTCCCCAAAATTTGGTTTTGATCGGTTTGTATTGCTATTTTAGAGGGTGTGAGGGACGGACAAAACTAGCGGAAGTCATATCATTTTATATATAGATGTGTGTGTGTGTGTGTGTTTACATGAGTATTACTTACCGGCAGTTTAGTTTTTTTGTTAATTCAAACTTGTTTTGTGCGTTGACATGTAAGTTGAGCAGAAGAAGAACGAAGGTCCAAATTAAGAACTTCTGGAACGTTGAACTACGAAGCTGCAACATTGTTGTGTCTTCAATAAACTTGCTCGCTGCCCTGCAAAATATGGACAAACACAGAATTAAAGAAGGTTTATTTAAAAGAAAGACGTAATTACTTGCTATCATTTCACGTATTTAGCATTCTTATTGTTGTGGTAGGATCCACCTAATTTGCATAGTGGAGTACCGACCATATAAATATGGTTGGTACCGGGAAGAGAGGGAGGAATCAAGAGATTCACTCTCAGTCGAACTCTCTGCATTTTGCAGTAAGGGACCCGGACGAGGCTTTGCCAAAGAGGCAGGGTTTCGTCCGGGTGGTAGACAGGCCTTGAACCCGTCTAGGCGGGTTCAGAAAAGGCCTTTTTGGCCGAGCCTACGGGCTCGGAGATACCCACTTTAAACCGACCTTGTGCCACATTTTATTCTCGTACGGTGGATAGATAAATACAGGAATCAAGAGATTCAACCAAAGACTCTGCCCGACTGCGATTCAGTCAACACATTCTCCAGGAACGGTCTTACCAGGAATATACAAAAGACTATATGTAAATATTGTGTACACTTTCTTGTTTCAATACATTTTGTTCTAAGTACCTTTTGTGTTGCATTATTATTCCATGCATTAGTCAAGTTTCAACACTTATCATAGTACATTTTAATTAAACACATGACCTTACACTCCCACACATACACACACGCACACATATAAACACCTAGATATAACACGCATGCAGATACACACATGTTCATATAGAATTCCAAATTTTTTTTTTTCTCGCACTTTCAACCTGTGGAACTCCCTTCCGTTTAATTGCTTCCCTGATTTTACAATCAAAAAAAATTTAAATGCAATGTCAATCGCCATTTTCTGTCTACTTGAATCGCGTACATATTTTTCCTTTCCTCAATCCTTCCAATATTCTTTTTTTTATTAAATTTTTATATTTGTAAACCGTTGCGTACTAGTGCAAATTTAAAAAACATTCAGGGAAATAAAATAATATATATATATATATATATATATATATATATATATACATATAATTTTTGAACACAGACACACAAAACAACACAACACACACACACATACACATTTTTGATATATAACACGCACATGAAAATAATAATTCTTTTTTTGCACACATATATAGTTGCACACACAATTTTAAACAATATATAGTACGCATACAGACACATGCACATATATATATAACGCATAAATTCACACACATATAAAACCTAAAAACTGCACACACGAATATATAATAATGTATTAATTTCAAGCATATATAAAACGTATGCAGAAAGACACACATACGCACACACACATACATATATATATAACAAACGTACGCACATCTATAACACGCACGTATACTCACACCCACATATACAGTTGTACGCACACAGACACACACACATATATATCTAAAATGGACACACATATATAGAACACATTTTCACGCATGCACACACTCGCACACATACATACGAACACCCGCACAGACATATACACAACTATTTGACTGCCTTATACGCTATTTATTATAGGAGCAGAACTAAAACCTTGAAAATGGCTAAAAGTTGAAAGTGGTTGGAATCACTAAACATTTAAACAATTTCTTCTCTCGTTATGTTTTATTGATGGCCTTGATTTTTATGACTTATCAACCCTTTGTGGTTTATTCAAATCTGAAACATTTTTGCATTGTAAGAATAATTTTTTTATGTATATATATATATATATATATATATATATATATATATATATATGTTACTATACGTTATATTTAGCGTGTTTAAAGCATCAATTACTTTTTTATATATATATATATATATATATATATATATATATATATATATATATATAGAGAGAGGGAGAGAAGAGAGGGAGAAGAGAGAGAAAAGAGAGAGAGAGAGAATTAGTTAGATAAATGCTCTAGAAGACTGAGATAGATTGATTTGAACTTATTGTAATAAATAGATAGATAGATATAAGCAAATCAATATCAATCCGAATGGTGAAAAATATTTATTTCGCACGACACGTATGTCGTTTTCAGCATAAAAATTTTATTTGTCAGTACTCGTAATTGTTTTGTTTTGTTGTGTGTATGTGTGTGTGTGTGTGTGTGTGTTTAGTAGGCATTATTTATGTTTGGATGTTGCACGCATGTTGATGTGGGGACGTTTTTAAGTCAACACCGGTCGTGATAGTTAACTATACGTTAGATTCTTTAAGAATGGATTTAATAAAGGTTGTAATATAATATTTTTACGTGTATTTATAGTTCGTAAAAATTTTATCAGGTCTCCCTCGAAGTATTTTCAACGTAAAGAATTATGTTTTCTTTCTTTTTTTTTTATTATTGGAATTGCATTTGTAACATCAAAGTTATGGAGGGAGATATCACGTAGATTTTCAGTTCTCTTTCCTTTGTTACCAACGAAACTCTCATGTCTCGTAATACTCTGCCTAACTTTTGGAATGCGTCCTTGGCCATCCTAATACGTTTTCGGATCTTAGTGTCGCACTAATAGCCAACACATGGTTCCAAGAACATTCGAGACGATTATGGACATGAAGGATCCCAGGAGAAGCTAAAAACTAATTTGACTACATAACTATCAACAAAAGGAAGTTTAGTACGAATTCATAATGAACCGATCGTAAAAGATTTGCCGACGTTTTGAAGAATTCGATTCAAAAATGTTCATTTTCAAAGATTATTTACTAAAGGAAAAAAGAATGATCTGCGATTTTCCGTAATAATTTTTCATAATTTCCATTGTATTTTTTCTGTTTAATTGGTATACATTTTCAATTTTATTTAAAAGTTATAAGAAATAAAAAAATAATTCTTAAATGAGTAGAGTAGGCTTTTGAATTGATCACATTTTCCCGGGCAAAGCCTGGTCAGGCACAAATGCACTTCCTTCTTTCAAGGGTTGTATTACAATATTTCCTCGTCTAAAACTAGAATATCGCTTCCACTGTTCAGCTTAAAAATAAATAAATAATAGAAGGTGAGGGCTGAAATTAAGGGAGTGTCTGATTGCTTTCCCCTGGGGGTGTAGATTTCGCATTAGTCGATAGTTAAGGGCAAACACTGGTAACTGTTGAAACTTGAGACATCAAAACGAGGTAACAAAAATGATGAGAAAATGGCGATCAACTATACGCGTCCATTCAGGCGTGATTTGGTAGGAAAAAAGGCGGGAAAAATCATTAAAGCTTGTGGATTATTTGTTTAGTCGGCGGAAAATATATCTCTATGTTATTTCAAAGAACGACTCTGTCTTTGCCAATGCAACAGATTTGTTTTTTGTCGTCTGTTTTGTTTCAGTTTTGTGGTTCTAAAATCACCGCATATTGTGAATATGAAGCCTTGTTTTGAGATCACGCAAGCCAACATTATTATACATAATGATTACGCACACACACACACACACACATATATATATATATATATATATATATATATATATATATATATATATATATTGTAAACCCTTAAATGAAACTTGCTTCTTAGGCTTACACGATAAATTGGAAATTATTAAATTTGCTGTTAAAAATTCTCTATTAAACCAAAGAAGTGAATTAACTGTTGTTAACTTTCACTTTATAATGTGGTTAAACATTGAACTTGGTAGTACTATTTCATATGGTAATATTTAATAAGTAAATTGTGGTGTGACTTCCATGAATGGTAATTTCATAATGTTTTTTAGATTTAATATAGCTATGTATTGCTGTTTATTCGGTATTATTAACATCTTATATGAATGTCACACTTCATTTTAATTTTAAACACTTAAGGACTATTTACTGGTATCTTAAAGAAGCCTTTTAATTATCAACTACAAAATCTATGTTACAATTAGCTATAGATTTGATTATCCTCCTACCCCTCCTCTTAGTCTCTTATAAATTGGACAAGTTATATTTGTTCATAATTATGATAGAATGTTGCTATTTGCTTATAGTTTGTATTAATTTCTTGTCAGCAACTTATGACCTTGTCTAGGATTCTATTTCAGACCACATTTCCCCTTTTTTCTAGGTTAAGTTTGAATTTAGCGTAGCTAATTGGTTAATCAGGATAAAACCCAAAACGGATCCAGAAATTTCTTATTTGTTTTGTTTTTGGGAAAATGAAATTCTTTCAAAAAATGAAGGGGTATTCTGTTTTTGAAATTAAAAATAATTATTTACTCATCATTTGTTTACCATCGTCTGAAAAAACACAACTTAGTGCTGCAACATGAAAGGTATTGTGCAGCGATTTTCAAAAGGTTTTTGTTTTAATTTTACTAAAATAAATAATATTAAGCTTTACTCTGTATTGAGCCCTGTTTTAAAATTAAATGCTACGGATAGTGGAATTATATTGCATTTGTTCTTATCTCATATTTATATATATATATATATATATATATATATATATATATATATATATATATATATATTTTACACAACAAAGTCCAAAATTACCAAATATGAACCAACGCAAAGCAAGTCAATCTTATTCAACCCTGTGTATTGACTAACACCTTTTATATATATATATATATATATATATATATATATATATATATATATATATATGTGTGTGTGTGTGTGTGTGTAATACATATACATACACACATAATTGAAAAATATATATATATATATATATATATATATATATATAGCGATCAAAAAGAGAATGAAGCCAAAGATAATGATAGACAGAGGGATACTATATACTATAAGGTAAGTAGTCTTTGCAATAAATTTTTCGATATCAGAGATAGAGCATTAATAGAATTAATACAGGGAAAATATTTGTTGACGTCATATATTAAGAAATGGACAAGGTCCGACAATTTATTTATTAAAGACATTTTTTTATGTTTAACGTTGTTATTTATAGATACAAGTACGTCATATATCATTTGTTTACATTTGATACGCCAGAGCAGTTATGAATGTACGAGATTCATGGAAGATTGAAGTTTATAAGCAGTAAATTCGA